GGGCAGAACAGTTTGAAAAAGCTGTCTTGGCCAAACTTGAGAGGGAGAATCAGATTCAAGGTGATAGGAATGAAAACAGACATGGTTCTGTACACTGGCAGAATTCTGATGCTGATCGGAATTGTGACAGTGAAGGAGAAGCTCAGAGTGATGGGAGTGAAAGTGATTGCACTGTCCACTCTGAAGGACATGTAACTGGTATGCCATCTGCACTGTTGTACGGGTCTAATTCCTCTTCAGCAGACAGATCGCATAGACGTTTACCCAAACACAGAAACAGAGGTCGTAAATCAACGATGCCTGTTTATGAAACACCAAAGGTTATTAAATTCCTTAGAGAGACTGTCCCACAATTTTCTAGAGGTTCAGGAAACATATCCGAACATCTGGAAAATTATGATAGAGCAATGAATTCATTGGGCATGTATGATGAAATCCAAAAGAAATGGTTCATTACATGGACCTTTGATTCAATGTGCCGTGTTTATCTAGAAAGTCTTCAAGCTATACAGTTAATGTCCTGGTCCAAGATGAAATATGAAATAATCATGGAATATGGTAAGTATAAAACCATTGCCTCTGCTAAGAAAGTGCTTTATAATTTAAAGTGCCGTCCAGATCAAAGCCCCAGAGAATTTTTAATAATTCTTAAAAATGCATACTCCGTGGCCCAAAGAAAACCCAGGTATGAAAGCACAGACTTCAAAGATCTGTATTTTCATGCCATGCCGGTAAACATACAAATGAATCTCGCAAGAGATTACGATTGTAAGTTACCATTAGAATGGCTAGTCAGTCAGTGAATTAAATTGTATACTATACACCATGCACATGACGAAAATCAGCCAAAGGTTAAGAAACCTGGTGATAAAATGGTGTCAGAGACTAAAATGCAGTTAGGTTTAGAAACCCAACAGAAAAAGAGGACCTATTCCGAGGTTTTGAAATCTCCAAAACCTCAGAAACAGGAAAATGCCGGAAGCAATTCTGCAAATTCCTCAAATAACTCTGAAAAATCCAATGCCAATGGGAATAAACGCCCCTGGGTTAATAAGAACCAAGGGAATTCCCAATGGAGAAGGAATCCTCAGGGAAATAGGAGATATGGAAACAGAAATAACCAATCTGCTTCCAGTAAATCCCAACAGTCTCAGCCATCCCAGCCAAATTCTAATGGGCAAAGACAAAACGGCAATGGGGGAAATAATTTGCGTCGTCAGGTTGGTCAATTGACAGACCAGATGGGCAAATTAATGGAGGAAATGACAAAGATTAACCAAGTCTTTGCTCTAAATCCTTTTTTAGGGATAGCTCCAATTGCAGAACTACCTGTGCAACCGCAGCAACAACAACAGGTGCCGCAGCAATAATAGCCACTGTGACTAAACAGGCTAGGTTATCAGTAGATGCAATGCCTAACCCTGTTTCCTTTCCAGGTACTCATAGTCAAACAAACAATAGTTGTGTTAGGAAACCTATTGCCTATCCCGTCACTTCACTTCCGGGTGAAGGAGGCGCAACGTGTTCCTCTGTTCTTTCATTTCAGCCAAAGGCTAAAGTAGCCCCAGCAGCCACTAGTTTCCAGGATCCAAACCTGAAAGGGTTAACTGATGAGATGCTGACCACTAGTTCACGCTTGACAGTTCAAGATATTCCTAAAAGGGATGGGCCTGTGGGTAAGACTGAGCATTCCTCAGTACAGGTAGAAACTACTGCTGTGACCGGTAATGTATGGAAAACAAGTAATATGTTGACACATTCTAAATTCTTATGTGAATTAGAAGAACATGAAGGAAGGTACTACATGTCTGTAGAAATACAGGATTCGCTGCCCCAGCCCTTCAAAGGGTTAATAGATACTGGTTCACAAGCCACTATCTTATCCAATACCTACTTCCAGCAGGTAATGGACCTAGCAGCGGATAAGCCAAAGCTAAGAGATTTCCCCAATGCTCTGTTGAGTGTAGGAGGAAATGCCCTTCATGTTATTGGCAATACCTGGTTAAAGTTTAAAATAGGTAACAAAACCTTTAGACACCCGGTAATAGTGGTAGATCTCCCTTATGACCGACTGATTCTGGGTATAGACATACTCAGAAGACTTAACACAATTATTGACTGTGTGAATGGAATTGTATGGTCACAAGCTAAAGTTCCTATAACCTATGAGAAATCACATGTACAATCTGATCGTAACTGCCATGTGATAGAAGAAAGACCTGACTCGATAGAGGTACATTTTAGGAATAGTCAGTCACCTGACGTGACTATCCTGCAGGTGAATGATGCAATCGCACCTGTAGATGAGCATTCCATAAGAATTGCTCCAGAGAGGATCCAGAATGTCTCTCTGGAAGGTGATGTTTTAACCATTTCTCTCCACAGGGACTATGTTGAATCTGTAGATCTGGCAGGTCATGCACAATTCCTTGCCAGAATTGAAAGGGTTAATAACAACTTATTCTTTCCCATTCAATGAAATGACTTAGGAAGAAATAGGAATGCAAAGCTGGACTTAGAGAGAGAGAACAGCTATATTAGCAGAAGTCTGTTAAAGCAGATCGCTAATCCTAAAATGATCAGGTACGCTTCCCCACATGACAGGTGGATCCAGAATCTGGATGGCGAATCAGAGAGTCACAATGTGATAGCAAAATGTTTACTATCTATTTCCATCGGAAATAAGACAGTTAAACATTTATTCCTAGTGATAGACGAACCTCGCTATCAGGTTTACGTTGGCAATGATGTCATACATCGCTTTGCCATACACCTTGACCTGATTAATTCCAACTTGTGGACAAGTTTAAAAGGTAATCCTTGTGGATACCTACACGAGGAAAACGCCCTGAAATCAGGACAAATACTCCCATATGCGGTATGTATCCAAGTTCCTGATGACATAACCATTCCCCAAGGGACAAGTAATTTTCTTTTACCCCTACAGGTCAAGGGGGGTCAGAGATTGGAAAACTCTGATGCCCTAATCTGTTTATCCAACAGGATACAACAATTAAGGATGGTGGTAACACATACACCAATGGTAAGTATTGGTAAGAATCCCACCTATATCATGGTCAACAATGTTACACCCAATAGTGTTACTTTACCAAAAGGAACATTATTAGGTCTAGCATTGGATGCTGATCAATCACCTTCGATCATCCGCTCAATGAGCAGGAATCACGAGAGTATCACGACCAAAGAGAAAAGGTAAGTCAACACCGAACTGACCTAACTTCTAGGCTTGAAGAAGCTTATGAGATAGGCCAGCCTGAAATCTTTCCAGGATTTCAGGAAAGGCTAGAAGAGCAAATATCTTTAACTGACGGTTGCTCCAACGATGCTGAGCGACAGCAGCTAAAGGAAATCCTTTTGGAATTCCAAGATATTTTTGCCAAAGATTCCTACGACTGTGGGTTAACTAACCTCCACGTAGCCAGAATACAGACTGATCCAAATTTACCACCTGTATTTATCAAACAATATAGACTCCCATTAGCGTCATATGATGGTCTACAAGACATCATTCAGAATTTAAAGGAAAGGGGCATTATACGTCCAGTGCACAGTTCGTATAATAATCCGATCTTGGGGATTCTGAAACCTAATGGACAATGGCGTTTATGCGCTGACTTACGACAGCTAAATAAACGCGTCTATATGTCTGGTTGGCCAACACCATACATAGACCAATGTTTGGTACAAATGCAGGGATCCAAAATATTCACTGCCATTGACTGTGCCCAGGGATATTGGACTGTACCAGTCCATAATGAAGACCAATACAAATTGGCCTTCACATTTGGAAAGCAGCAGTATACCTGGACCCGTATGCCTTTCGGTTATATAAACTCTGGTCATGAATTCGCTGTGTTCATGCATAAAGCTATGCCTGACGCACTCGAGAGAGGAACGTTATCATATGTCGACGATGTCTTGCTGAAAAGCACTTCCTTTGATAAGCATATCTTAGAGATTAGACATGTTCTCACTCAGTTAAGAGAGGCAGGGATTAAACTGTCTTTACAAAAGGCGCAATGGTGTCGCACCCATGTCAATTTCCTCGGACATGAGGTAACTTCTGAAGGATTAAATCCCCAGAGGAAGAAGGTTGAAGCTGTAATTAAGTCTAAAACACCTTCAAACATCAGGGAATTAAGATCGTTCCTTGGTATGACTAACTACTCCCGTAAGTTTATAGATAACTATGCAGAAATAACAAAACCACTCTTACACCTGCTTAAAGGACCACTCTGCCACTACGCATCAGTATATCGAAGATTTGCGCAAGCATTTACAGCATGCGTTTGCTTTTGCCCAAAAGAATCTAGAAAAAGCAGCGACAGGGTTTAAGACCTATTACGATCTAAAAACCACGAAAAAGGAATATGAGATCATAGATCAAGTCTATCTGTATAACTTTGCGCGAAATCAAGTTAAGGAAAATTAATTTTTACCTTCTTGGAAAGGGCCATATGTCATTATTGACAAAATTTCCCCAGTAGCGTACAAGATAAAAATGCCTAAGGATGGTGATTTTATTGAAAAGTGGGTTCACATTAACCAGTTGCGTGCTTGTCATCCTAAATCTCAATTAAGGATTATAGGTGCGGATTCGGATGCAGAAGGGTGAACGACTAACCTGGATGAATGCTTGATTCACGTGGTATAGTATGATGTGAAATGTTGTGATGTGCCATGATCTCATGTACGTTCATGTCATTAACCATTTCCTTGCCATCCAATAACTACATTTTCTAAGCAGGTTACTAGCTTGTTTAACTGCTATAGGCAAATTACTGAAGAGTCAGTAATAAATGTAGTGAGGGATGAAGTTATAAAAATAGAATTAGAGAGAATACATATGTTGATGAATCGTAATAATGTGTTGTCCTAGGCCAAGTGATGTCACACTGTTATAAGTTTGTATGCTTAACAAACCTTGAATCATTAGTAGATAAGTCTGAAATGAGTTCCTGATCCGTGACTGTCGAAAGATGTCCAAGAAGGATGTGGTGTATTTCTGGATCGTACTGCTCCTGTGCCAAGAGCTACAGACCGACCCGATCGCAGAGATGGGACCATCCTCCGGCATCCTGATTCAAGAGACACCAGGGTTCATCTTAACAGAGAAGAGGATCCTGACCCGACGTGTGTTCATCAGCTTGGACCCCAAGATTTCCATCGAGAAGGCATACAACATTTCATCGATGCAGCTTCCTGAGTTACAGACTTGGTACTAGATGCACCTCCAAAGAGCACAGGACCGTGTGCGAAACATCTTGGAGCAAGCCCGGAAACCATTTGTATCCAGTTCTATTCTGATGAGCAACCGACCCAAAAGGTTCCTCACCGCTATAATTGTTGCATTAGTTTGTGCCACTGTCGGTGCAGTTGTCGCAACTGGAATGTCTGCAGCCAACTCTATTACTGTCCAAAAGCTGGATATGGAAATCTATGCGCTAAAGCAACACATTAACGATATTCATCAGGTGATAAAACAGCAAAGAACACTTCTCCAAGACGTGTTAACTATTGTGGAAGACACAGTTGTTACAACAAATTTGCATTCGGAGTTAATTGCCAAATCCACTGAGTTGCACCAAAGTCATGACTTATTTAAGCGTGAACTTCTATTTCTGCATGACCCAATATTGTTCCACACACTTGCTTTTCTTGACGAAGTGCAAACTGGAATGATCGAATTGGCAGGGGGACGCATACCTCTGTATTTTGTATCCAAGGATATTGTTCATGCGATGCTTGCCAATGTGGAGAAACAATTGAGCCTATGCAATTAAATCTGGCCTTTGAGATGGGGAGCGCTATACCTCTCTTAATTGATCCGGAACGTATGGAGATTTGCTTTTTATTGACCATACCATATGTAACTCCCAAGAATATTTTTCAAATGAAAACAATGTACTATGTTAATAATGATATTATGGTTGATCGTACTAAGTGTAAAGTTCAAAACTATTACTGGTACGAATATATACAAAAATGTTCATTCCACGCACGGGCCTATGTTAGAAATTATGTGATTGCACAATATGTCTGGTAACTTCTATAGTGCTTATTCATAAGCTAAAGTAGATTTTGGCTATGAAATGCACTAAAGGGGGGTTATGTCAGAGTAATTATATCGGCAGACATCTTGTGCTATGATAGAAATTAAAAGTGTATATTCTGAGTCACTCTGAACAGACCAGACTCCATTTTGTTATTTTCAAGTTAACAAAGAGACACAAAATTTCTTTCCTATCTGTAAAACTAACCACTTTCCCAGAACTAAAGGAATGCATAGTATATACAAACCAAGTGATAAGGAGAACGGGGGTTGGACAGACTGTCTAAAATGTTAATGGAATAGATGCATATCTAAACACAGACATTTGTGACAGAGGGGATTAAATAATAAAATTTTACTTTCTATATGTACAAGGTCCCATTGTAAGTTACGGGTCAAAACTCAGAATTTGCCAGACACATAGTCTGGACAAAACTTAAAGAAACTGTTTGATCTGACAGCAAACATAAGTTATGGCCACTATAAAGATAAAGCAAAATGACATCAAAATAGCCACCAAAAGTTAACTCTTTCCTGGATAGGTATGTTTAGTGGGACAAGACTGCCCTCTATAGACCAAATACCTAAATTGCGATCCCTAGGTAAGCACACATCTAGTGCTTCTATTGGGTCATCAACTAATGACGTACAGAGAGTCTGGCCATTTAAAAGTTAAGACAAAGGGGAGACGAGGAATGGAAGGGTATGCAAAGAAAGCAAAGAAGTGAGCAGTCGGAAGCAATGCAGAGAGGCCTATGACAGATATCCACTCTAGGACACTCAGAAATTCCTACACACCTCCATGCAGAGAGACATCCAAACAAGTTCCTGAGACTACCAATCGGATGAAATATCTACTCAACTGGTAATTATACTGGTTTCATTTAATTAATTAAAATTTACTAATAGCATGATATATGATTGGATAAATCACGGTCAGATTTCCATGTTAAGAAATCTTAGTTAACTAAAGAATATATAGTTATAAACATTCCATTCTGCAGGTGGAATTAAGAATAATTATATATTGATGTGATATTATCACGTGTTAGCATACCGCTATTTTTATCCAGGTGTATTGATTTGCTCTAATATAAGATAAGATATCTTTTAGACAAATTAAAATCTGCTTATAAAATATGGTAGATTCTCTTATTGGATGGTTCCAGGAAATGACTAATGAACTGGTTTAAATGTTATTTTATTTAAAATTACATAAGAATAGATCTTAATTACCTAGGAGGTCTAGCCAGCATTGTAAGGGTAATTCTAACTGTTAGCAAGGGTTTTATGGCCCTTCGCTGTGAAAAGCTTCACTTTCAGTCTGTAAGGATACCCTCATAAATCGTGTAAGTCTTGACAGAAAATGCTGTTTAGCCATTGAAATGTGTATACCCTTTCCATTGCATTGCATACCATTTTATACTGGATATTCATTGATTATTGTCACGCATGTTACATAATATTATTTGTTAATTAATTGTTATTATAAAATAAAATCTATTTTTATAATATTTTTTATTTATATGAAATACTTTCCACTTAACACGATAACGATCTTTGGGATCTGAGAATTGAATTAGTGGGCAATTCTCACTGTTTACTATTATTATCCCATAAATATCCCCACAGTTCGTTGAGCTGTCAGGCCACGCCCCCCATCATTTTGCATTTTTATAAATAACTGGTAAGAGCACATCTTGATTGTGCTGTGCAATTTTGGGCACCAATGCTAGAATATTGGAAATAGTGCAGAGGTGGGCTACAAAATTAATAAAGGGAATGGAACATTTTAGCTATGAAGAAAGGTTAACAAATTTAAACCTCTTTAGTTTAGAAAAATGTTGCATCAGAGGGGATATGATAACATTATTCAAATATATCTGGGGCCAATACAAACCATTTTGTGAAAATCTATTCTCAAATAGGACTACATGTAGGTCATGCATTTAGACTGGAAGAAAGAATATTTAGTCTAAGGCAATGGAGAGGTTTTTTTGTTTTGTTTTTTACTGTAAGAACAGTAAGGATGTGGAATTCTCTGTTTAAACAGCAACTAGATGCATACTTGCAAAAACATAATATTCAGTGATATAATAATTCAACTGTAGAGTAATAGCTTCTTGATCCAAGGATAAATAGAAACATAGAATGTAATGGCAGATAAGAACCATTCAGTTCATCTAGTCTGCCTAATTTTTAATACTTTCATTTGAGCCTTATCTTATAGCTAGAGAGTCTGGCCCTTTAAAAGTTAAGACAAAGGGGAGACGAGGAATAGCCTTATGCCTATCCAACGCATGTTTAAACTCCTTTACTGTGTTAATCTTTACCACTTCAGCTGGAAGGCTTTCCATGCATCCACTAACCTCTCAGTATTTTTAAACATTTGCCCCTCTAATTTAAGACTATGTACTCTTGTTGTGGTAGTTTTTCTTCTTTTAAATATAGTCTCCTTCTTTACTGTGTTGATTCCCTTTATGTATTTAAATGTTTCTATCATATCCCACCGTCTCATCTTTCCTCCAAGCTATACATGTTAAAATCCTTTAATCTTTCTTTGTAAGTTTTATTCTGAAATCCATGAACCAGTTTAGTAGCCCTTCTCTGAACTCTCTCAAAAGTATCAATATCCTTCTGGAGATATGATCTCCAGTACTGTGTACAATACTCCACTTGAGGTCTCACTAGTGTTCTGTACAATGGCATGAGCACTTCCCTCTTTCTATTGCTAATACCTCTCCCTATACAACCAAGCATTCTGCTAGCATTTCCTGCTGCTCTATTACATTGTCTTCCTACTTTTAAGTCATGAGAAATAATTACCCTTATATCCCGTTAGGTTAGGACTCTATCAAATATTCTGTACTCTGCCCTTGGGTTTTTTACGTCCAAGATGCATTATCTTGCACTTATCCACATTAAATGTCAGTTGCCACAATTTTACCTAAATCATTTGCCATTTGGCTTATCCCTCTTGGAATATCAAACCTGTTACATATCTTAGTATCATCAGCAAAAAGACATACCTTACCATCAAGACCTTCTGCAATATCACTAATAAAAATATTAAAGGAAATGGGTCCAAGTACAGATCCCTGAGGTACCCCACTGGTGACAAGACCATGCTTCGAATACTGCATTGACTACAATCCTCTGTTGCCTGTCATTCCGCCACTGCCTTACCCATTCAACAATATTGGAATCCAGACTTAAAGATTGGAATTTATTGATAAGCCATAAGGCATTAAACAGTGTCAAAAGCCTTACTGAAATCTAGGTTAGCACTGTGCAAAAGTGTCAAAAGCCTTACTGAAATCTAGGTTAGCACTGTTTACTGCACCACCCTTATCTATTATTTTAATTACCCAATCAAAAAAAATCAATAAGATTAGTTTGGCATGATCTCCTTGAAATAAACCTGTAGAATATTGCATATTCTATATGTTCCTATTCAAATACATATTAAGGTGTGGTTGTCTAATGGGTTAAACAGAACAGATGGCGTTTGCTATTCTGTACCATGGGGTCACTGGAATTTGCTGTATAAGAGATTTGAGGTGGTCTTTATATAGGGAATTTCCTTATATGGCAGAGTCTAAACTAAACGTTATGATGTAATTTGGGCTATATAGAGCCAAGGACAAAGGACTACGCTCTCTGCCTTCTATGATCTGTTTTGCTCTACTCTCTGATATCCTGAGTTGCTGATACAAAGACGACTCTCTGTAAGGTCGTTAAGAAATACCATCTGTTAAGTATATTATTGTTTGCTGTTGAATGTAGAATAAATACTTATTTTTTATAAAGAACGTCAGATTGCGTATTAGTACTTTTCAATAATATAGACATATATTATTGTGGCGAGCCTGACCCAAAAGAAGAAATATCTCTCTCTCTCTCTCTCTATATATATATATATATATATATATATATAAAAGACTTATTCAACTAAAGAAAAACACAGCCATTTATTACAAAACCCATGTTGTCTCTGATCTTAAAATCCATGTGATTTTAGATGTTCAACAATCCTATCCTTTAACATGGTTTCCATTACTTTCCCCACTACTGAAGTTAGGCTTACTGGCCTATAGTTGCCCGATTCCTCCCTACTTCCTTTCTTGTGAATGGGCACAACATTCACTAACTTCCAATCTTCCAAACTGAGGCTCCTTTCCTTCATTTTCATCTGTAAATACTGAACAAAAATATTCATTGAGGCAGTCAGCTAGACCTTTATCCTCTTCTACATACCTTCCTTCTTTTGTTTTTAATATAACTAATCCTTGTTTTACTTTGCTTTTCTCATTTATTTATCTAAAAATGTTTAGTCCCCTTTTTTTACTGACTGTGCTATGTTCTCTTCTTTGTGTGATTTGGAAGCTCTTCTCACATGCTTAGCCTCTTTCTGCCTAATCTTATAGATCTGTCTATCTTCCTCACTCTGTGTTTTTTTTTTTTTTTTATAATTACTAAATGCTAACTGTGATGGACCCTCCGTCAATCAATGCTCCTAGTGCTTACCAAGGACCATCAGCACCGCACCAGACACCATCAGCACCGCAGTCCCCACATCCAGCATTACAGCTTGGCTGGGAAATCGACGTCTCCTACCCAACCTGGACCTAGGACAAGGATCCAAGTTCCAGTGGGTGACCCCCTCTTCCTCCAGAGAGTTAAAGGACCACTCTAGGCACCACTAAACTACCTGATTTAACAGCCCTATTC